CTCTTCCGATCTCCCCAAAACCCCAAAACCCCTAATTCTCTCATTAATGAATATTTGGTAGATATGTAATTATTAAAAATGTATAAGAAAAGATATATAAATCGAGGAGGGTCTCGAGGAGGCCGAGGTGGTAGTGCAAGAGGTAGAGGAGGAAGAGGATAGAGCTATCAAAGAGGAGGAGGTGGCTAAGTTTATCAATAGTACGCACCCAGAGACTAATAATAGCAGTAAAATTATGGTGGATATTATGATCAGAATCAAAGATCATCATCATATTAAGATTCTTATTACCAAGAGGGTGTAGATACCTACGGATAAGAGTATGGAGACTATTACGATGAATATCCAGGTTCTTCTCAGCAATAGATGACTGAGCAGCAATACCTTTAGATGAAAAAAGAATAAGAAGAGCAAGCAAGTTATGCGGGAAAGTAGGAATAAACATAATATCAATCTCACAGAAAAGTTGTCAATGTTGAAAGTAATGTTCAGTCTCAGTAATATTAGGCAAAGCAAGCTTATTAGACTGATTCATTAAATCAATCTTAGTACCAGCCCAAATATCAAGCTAAAGATCAAAGTACTCCACAATTAAATACTTAATCAAGTGTATTTGTGCCTAAGAAAAAAACTCAAGATAGTCAAAGTTATCCTCAGGAAGATCAATATACAGCAACTCAATAATATTCTTAACCTCAAACTGCTCAGGCAAAGTACTTACCTAAGGAGTAAACTCAATCCTACTAGAAATCTAGCCAATATGATGCACCTAAAGATCAACAGAGTTATTAACCTAGATATTAGCAGAAATAGTAATATGAAGAGTCAAAGTAATCATCCTATGATAACTATGGCTAACCTTAATATGATGATTATTATGATAGCGGCTACAATTATCAGCAGAATTAGCAATATTAGTATTAAGATTATGATTAATACTATCAAGGGGACAAAGGAGCTGAATAAAATGAAAATTATCAGAATGATTAGTTTTACGATGACTATTACTAGGAAGTAAATAAAAGAGGATTAGATGATTATGGTGACTATGGAAACGAAGGCGGGGTCTTTGAGGATTTTGAAAATGATTACTATAACGAAACAGATACTTAAGTTTCCCGTGATGCTATAAGCACCACATAGTCACAATACTCCTCTAGAACTGTTTCTCAAAAGAATGAGCCAATTGCAAAAGATGAGTAAAAGTAAGAGAAACCTCAGAAGAAACCTATAGCTTAGGTATATGAAAAAGAGAAATATCAAAGAGGCGGCAAATATTAAAAACCAATTAAGGAATAATAGGATACTCATAAAGGTGGTCAAAATAGAGATAGAGAACATAGGAGCCAAAAAGAAAGATATCAACAAGAAGAGTAAGATAACTCCTAGAACTAAGTCTAGCTTAATGAAATATCAAACTTAAATTATGCTTAGGGCCATAGATCAGAGCACGTTAACAGTCCATGCGTTGTGATGATGGTTGCTGAGAAACCATCGATTGCTCTCTCAATTTCTGAAGCTCTTTCTAATAATTTCGTGAAGAAAAATGGGGTTGCTAAACAATGCCCAGTTTATACTTTCAAAGGCAATTTCCAAGGACAGTAGGCTTCATTTAGAGTTACTTCAGTTGCTGGCCATGTTTACAATAGAGATTTCCCATTAGACTATTAAGATAGAAGAATGGATCCCAAATCACTCTTTGAAGCACCTACAGTAAGAAGATTAGACAACTCTTCAAGAATTATAGCTAAGCATCTCTAAGCTGTTAGTAGTGGAATCGATTATATGGTTCTGTGGCTTGATTGTGACAAAGAAGGTGAAAATATTTGCTTTGAAGTTCTAGATATCTGCAGGAGAAATATCCCTAGTTCAAAAAAACAAAGAGTTTTTAGAGCTAAATTCTCATCCATTGCAAAGAAAGATATCTAAGCATCGTTCGATGCTCTTAAATTTGAACCTTCTTATAATGAGAGTGTGAGTGTTGAGGCCAGATAAATTATGGACTTGAAGATTGGAGTTGCATTCTCTAGATTTCAAACCTAATATTTCGCCCATTTACTCAGAGGCTAATCTGAAATAAGAATGATTACATATGGACCTTGCTAGACTCCGACTCTTGGATTTTGTGTTGATCAAGCTGAGAAGATCAAGAAATTTATTCCTGAGCCATATTGGTCAATTGAAACTGTTATTGGGGATAGAGTTTATGACAAGACTTATTATCTCAAATGGTAAAGAGGCAAAATCTATGACAGAACAATCACCTCTATAATTCATGCAAGAATTCTAGGAATCCAAACTGCTGAGGTCATTGATATCAAGAAGTCTAATGCTGTTTAGGGAAAGCCTTAAGGATTAAACACTGTTAAGATGCTTAAAGTTGCCTCAAAAACTTATGGAATGAGTGCACATGATACAATGAAAATAGCTGAACACCTTTATCTAAGAGGATTTATTACATATCCTAGAACTGAATCTACTACTTATTCATCAAACTTCAACTTTAAAGAAATCTTGACCTAGCATATGTCACATCCTGATTGGGGAAATTACGCTTAAATGCTTTTGAATGGTGGAATGGTAAAGCCAAAGAAAGGAGTAGATGCTGGAGATCATCCTCCAATTACACCTGTCAAGAGTGCCACTAAATCATAGTTAGGCGATAGAGAATGGAGATTGTATAACTTTATCTCCAGAAATTTCTTTGGATCAATTTCTCATGATGCTTCATATGAGCAAGTAAAGGTCTTATTCTAGGTAGGCCAAAAGGATAGTGTAAATGAAATTTTCAAACTCAAGGGTAACATTTTAAAAGAAGAGGGATTCCTTGAAGTAATGCCATGGCTACTGCAAAGTGACAAAGAAATTCCTGTTTACAAGATGGGATAGTAAGTAGATATCAAAGCCATAAGAATTACAGAGGGGAAAGTAAAATTCAAAATATTGTTTCATAATCTATTTTTAGACATAAGCTCCTGGCTACTTAACTGAGGCTAAATTAATCTCTCAAATGGAAAAGCATGGAATAGGCACAGATGCTTCAATTCCAACTCACATCAACAATATCATTGAAAGAAAATTCGTGACAGTACTAGACCCTGGTCGTTAACTCGTTCCTACACCATTAGGTCTAGCTTTAGTAAAAGGATACTGCTAAATTGATCCAGAACTAGTTTTACCCTCAATCAGATAAAATATTGAAAAAAGCTGCGAATTAATTGCTAAAGGTAAAGCTGACTTTAACAAAATTCTGTCTCATGTTTTAAACATGTTCAAGAAAAAGTTTGAGTTTTTCAGAGCAAACATTATTAGCATGGAAAAAATACTAGCTTTAATGCTTAAGAGCTCCAGAGGTCTTGCTTCAAATGAATTCCTTCTGAGTAACAAGATCAAGCATGAGTAAAGCTCATAAATCATTTAAATCTTTTCTATAGTGATAGCAGTGATTTTAGAAAGACTGCTTTGAATTTCTGCATTAAATGTTTCAAAGGCCATTTGCACTTGCAATTCCATTCAAAGAAAGGTTGGGGATTAAAATGCTACGATTGCAATTTCAGAGTAAGATTTAATATTTTAATGAATTATATAGATTGGAGTTCTGTAAGGAGCAGCTAGAGTATTAAAAGAGGATAAAAAGTGTGATGAATGTGATTCATATTTGATTTCAGCTACTTATACAAAAGATTCTCCTTTCCCAGGCAAAAGATCAGAACACACTGGGTGCATCCTTTGTGACTCGTTACTTAATTCAACTATTATTACCTTCCTGTCAAAGAAACCTAAGAAATTACCAGAAGAGATGAATGATGAGGAAAGAAAAATATATGAGGAAAAGAAAAAGAAGATGGATGATAAGAAAAAGGCAAAAGAACTTAGAAAGATCGAGGAAGCCAAGTAGGACAAGACTAAGAAAGATGAATCAAAAGCAAATGAAGAGTAAAAGAAAAAGAACAAGAAGAAGAAGGGTGGAATGGGCAATCAAATGACTCAGCAAGAGTTGATGAACGAATTCATTAAGAAGTAGTTGCAAGGTAATTGAGAAGGGACTAAGAGAGGAATTTCAAAGTCAATTTAAGTAGAATAAATCATTCTTATGTATTTTTGGAATTCTTAGAATCGTGGGGTTTTGGGGTTTTGGGGAGATCGGAAGAGCACACGTCTG